AGCCAGTTATGCACCCACCTTATAGTAGCCCCATCTAGTTTATTGATAAGAATATCATGCGAGATCATATCGAACGCCTTACTAAAGTCTAGGTATACCACATCCACTGCTTCTCCCTTATCAACAAGACTCGTTATCCTATTAAACAAAGCTATCAGATTGGTTTGACATGATTTGTTCTTTACAAATCCATGCTGGCTGTTCCCTATCACCTTGCCACTTTCCAAGTGTTTACAGATGATTTCCTTAATTACTTGCTCCATTATCTTCCCTGGCACAGAAGTTAAACTAACTGGTCTGTAGTTTCCTGGGTTGTTCTTATTTCCCTTTTTATAAATGGGCACTAGATTTGCCCTTTTCCAGTCCTCTGGAATCTCTCCTGTCTCCCATGATTTTCCAAAGATGATAGCTAGAGGCTCAGATACCTCCTATCAGGCCCTGGTGACTTGCAGGCATCTAACTTTTCTAGGTGATTTTTAACTTGTTCTTTTTTTATTTTACCTTCTAAAGCTCCCAGTGTGATGCTGTGACTAAGACAGCTAACAGGACCCTTGTTGTACATGGGAAGGTACCAAGAAGCAGTAAGGCAGTGGCATTACCTCTGTACTAGGGAGACTATCACTGAACACTGTAGCCAGTCTGAGCGTCCATGTGTTGGAAAGGGGAGTGAAGCCCCGGGGCTCAGCAAAGAGCTAAATGCCTGCGTTACAATGAGCGAGTTTGCAGCTACATCTGTCTAGCCTCGCCATCAGGAAATGACATGATGACTTGACCCCAGGGCTCCTACCAGACGACAGCACGGTACAATCCTGGCGGTAAAAGCTGGAGCTAGACAAATTCAGACTAGCAACAGGGTGCACGTGTGTCACCGCGATGGACCATTGGAACATCGTACCTTGGGCTGTGGCATTCTCCATTCCCCGACTCTTTAAAGCAAAGCGGGATTGCTTTCTACCCCAGCTCAAGCAGAACGCAGGGGCTTGATACTGGACTTACTGGAGGAATCCCATGAGCTGGTCTGCGGGGGATTAGTCAATGACCACAATGGTTCCCAATGGCCTTAAAAATCCACTGGGAGTTTCTGAACGTGCACTCTCTCAGGAGACACAAAGGCGAGAGGGCAGAGGCTGGAACGGTTTAGGAATCAGAGTGCTCAGGAAACCAGGGGCTTCCTCCCCCACCCTCTTCCCCTCATGCCAGGGGCTTTAGGCAAGGTGGCCAGACAGGACAGGAGAGCTTGGGAATCTCGCGGCCTCATACCAGGTTTAACAGGTGTGGAGTCACCGGCTGCCTTCACAGTCTTCAGTAGAAGCTGCTGGTCAGATGACACAGGCATGCCTGCTCTGCATTGCTGCTGCTGCTGCTTCTGCTGCTGCTGCTTCAGGGCCTATGAGAGCGGGGAGAAGGACATGACTCTTCAAACATGCGTGTAACACCACCACAGAATGGGTTATCGCAACAAGTCGGCCCGGCCCCGAGACGCCTTGCCGCCGAGAATGTTCAAGAGCTTTGAAACATACACACACACCCGCCGGCTGTTGTCAGGAGATGTTCTATCCTTTGTCTGCATATGAACTGCAGCAACACAACAGGGAAAGGCAGACGTGGCAGACTTGTCAGGCTCTGAAATGACTGTTCCACGGAACCGCAAGTTCTAGAGACCACGAGAAATAACTGTAACAGTAATCCCACATAACACGATAGAGCCACTGGGTAACAGTGACCATCAGAACTTGGGGCTCCAGCGCCACAGGGCATGCCAGGGCCCGGAGCTTCCGCCCTGCAGAGCATGCTGGGGCTGGTGGGTACCACAGCTCCTATCTGGCTGGCTCTGGTGACTACAACACGATTAATCTCAGCTTTCTCGGGGAGGAAGCTCACAAAAAGCCTGCACAGCGACATTGCGCTTCAGTAAGATGGAATTAAGAACGAGGAAGGTCACCAAAGATTCTGAAATAGAAAGCGAAGAAAGTTAAAATTGCTTGCGTCAGCATGGAGGCTCTTAGTGCAGCTTTACCCAAGTCCAGCAGGCATGCCCATCCGTAACCAGAGAGGAAGCAAGAGGGCAAGACATGAAAGTTAGGTTAAAGAAGAAAGTTCACAAGGTCATTCAATGCAAAAAGCTAGTCCTAGAAAATGGAAATCCTGCACTAATGGAGCCAACTGAGCATAGCAAGAACTTCGGCAGGTACCTCAGGGGGTGGGATAGAAAGTAACAATGAAAGTATTATAATGCCATTATGTAAATCGCTGGACGCCCTCCCCGGATACTGAGTGCAGTCCTAGGAACTCTGTCTTTAAAAGCCTCTCTCAGATACAGCGGGAGTTCAGAGACAGGGAACAGAACTAATCAGACTGCAGAGACTTCTCTCTAAGGAGCTACTGAAAATCTGGGAACGTTTAGCTCAGGGGAGAGACACGTAAGTGAGCAGAGGGGAGGTTAGGTGCTTCTCTTCAGGAAAGTGCCATGCGACACGGTGAAAATGAGTCAACAAAATACTTCCTGCTATGCATAAATAACCTCTGGAATTCATTGCTGCACTAGAGAGATGAGGCCAAAAATGAACAGGATTAAAAAACATGACAGATTGCTAATGCAGACCTCCAGTTACACTGGCCAGGATAAAACATATTGTTAGCTATAAACCCTCCTGCTTCAGGCACAAGCCAGACAGGCAGGGGGTGGGAAGAAACTTCCTTAGAGCACATCATATATATAGTAGCCCAATGTCTGAGTCTGTAATGCTGTAGCATTACAGTCTCGCCTCTGGGGGGCGCTGTTGCCTCCCGCCGTGGCGCTTAGCTGAGTTTTGTGCCGCAGGGGACCAAGTGGTGCAAGTGGCTGGTTGGGGCCCGGGGGCCATTCTCTCTTTTTCTTCTCCTTAGTCCTCCCCCTCCTGCCTCTCACTTGTGGAGCCCAAACCCGTGCGATGTCCTGGCTGAGTGGCGCAGAACTCAGCCGAGCGCCACGGCGGAAGGGAAGGGGAGTGGGGCGGTGAGGTGACATACATGGCCAGGGGGTGGGACCCGGCCGAATGAGAGGCAGGAGGGGGAGGAGAAGAGAAAGGGAGAGTGAGAAGCAGGAGGGGGAGAGAGGCAGGGGGGGGAGGAGAGCTGAGAGAGAGAGGTGAGGCAGGAGGAGGAGGAAGAGATAGAGGGAGGGACGGACATGGAGGACAGTCCTGAAAAATCCTGTTGTTTGACAGGTTATTGGCTAGTTATACCAGAATTGCCAACAGCAGGACTTCCTGCTTCTTCCGGAGCTTCTGGCTCCAGCTACTGGCAAGACAACCCTGGACTTGAGGGCACACCAGCCTGTTCTTCTGTTTTGCTGGGGTGTAAGTATCCGATTGTCCTGTGTTAATCAGACTTTATTATAAGCGAAAGGGCTCTCAAACCCAGGTAAGATCTTGGCTTTATGCCATTTATTTGGTGCATTTCCCCCGCCAGGACAATGTAAAGAATGAACTCAAATGTGGCTGTGTCCTCAGTGTGGAACTGTTTGAGCGGCGAGCGCTTGCGGGGGGGAGGAGGAATAGTTACTCATCTGGAAAGAGGGTTTTCAAATTCCATGTCAACATTCTGATCGGTGTTTGCTTGAGTTAGGGCTGCGATGGGCCCACTCTGAATCACCCGTGTCCCCTTAAAGCATCTTTCCAAAGCTATAGCTATAGCCAAGGGAGCAAACAGGTGTTTCCAGGCAACACCAGAAACACAGGAAGACAGGCAGAGACTCAGGTGCATTTCCTCAGAGTAAATAACCCTCCCCCCACCCCACTGCCAGCTGATGGGTGTGTCTAACCTGGTGACGGTTCCAAACTGTGCCTTGAACACTGCTGGCCCGGTGTCAAAGTGGTTCCTGGAAGGGCAGTTCTTGCTTTATTTCCTTTTGTTCTGCACTAGCTCACTTTCTCTCTCCCGGCGGTGAACTCACCCTTCCGTGTCACCAGGCCGGCTGTGACGGGCAGCCCTGAGCAGCTGGTATGCCAGGCCAGATGCGAGAAGGCGTTGCTTTTCCTGAGGGGCTAGGAAGCGCTCTTGCGCCTCTCCCCTCACAGTATTAAACCCGCCATCTTCTCGCAGCTGCCCTCCAGCAGCCCACAGGGAGGCCAGGTCTACACTGCGTGGGAGATTGATGCTGCCGCAGTTCATCTTTGGGGGTGTAGTCAAGACCGGCTAATTCGAACCAAGAGGGCACCCCACTGGTGCTGGTACTCCTGCTCCTCGTGAGGAGTAAGGGAAGCCAATGGCAGCCTTTGCACCCACCGGCCTCCTGCGGCATGGACGGTGGTTTCAGCTACATAATTAACATTGCTGGAGTTGCGTAGCTTAAGTCGACTCTCCCTCAAGCACAGACATGCCCGCAGAGAGTCCTGTATTCCTAGCACTTAATCAGCATGCAGTGCCCGTGCCTGTTTATCATCTAAACCGTTTTATTGGGCTTTTGTTAGGACACGGTTAAAAGCAGCATCACTAGACGAGACCGTGCAGAGGAACAGGCGTGCTGCACAGACACCATTAAAAACAGCACCACTAGATGGGACTGTGCGGAGGAACAGGCGTGCTGAGCAGACGCGAGCACAGACACCGTTAAGAACAGCACCACTAGATGAGACCGTGCGGAGGAACAGGCACACCGAGCAGACGTGAGCATGTCAATAGCGATGCCAGAACCAGGGCTAGTGTAAGTGGCACCCGAGGACAATTGCCCCAAGCCTGCTTCTTTTGGGAGAAGTGGGCAGGTGGTCTCTGATCCCTATGCTCACGGGGTGCAGGGACATGCCCAAAGGCATTCATGTATATAAGAACATAAGAGCAGCCAAACTGGGTCAGACCAAAGGTTTTCCAGACAGAGGCTAGGGACAACATTCCTACCCAGCCTGGCTACTAGCCATTGATGGACCTAATCTCCATGAATCTGTCTAGCTCTTTTTTTAACCCTGTTAAAGTTCTTGCCTTCACTGCATCCTCTAGCAAGGAGTTCCACAGGTTGACTGTGCACCAAGTGAAGAAAAACTTCCTTTTGTTTGTTTTAAATCTGCTGCCTATTCATTTCATTGGGTGAGCCCTAGTTCTTTTTGTGGGAAGTAGTAAATAATTTTTCCTTATTCACTTTTTCCACCCCACTCATGATTTTATAGACCTCTATCATATCCCCCCTTAGTCTCCTCTTTTCTAAGCTGAAAAGTCCCAGGCTTTTTAATCTCTCTTCATGTGGGACCCGTTCCAAAACCCTCATCATTTTTGTTGCCCTTTTCTGAACATTTTCCAATGCCAAGAGATCTTTTTTGAGATGAGGCGACCACATCTGTGCGCAGTGTTCAAGATGTGGGCGTCCCATGGTTTTATATAAGGGCAATAAGATATTCTCGGTCTTATTCTCTGTCCCTTTTTAATGATTCCTAACATTCTATTTGCTTTTTTGACTGCCGCTGCACACTGAGTGGATGGTTTCAGAGGACTCCACAGTGACCCCGAGATCTCTCTCGAGTAGTTGTAGCTGAATCAGTCCCCATCATATTGTAAGTCTAGTTGGGGTTATTGTTTCCAATGGGCATTACTTTACATTTAGCAACATTCCATTTCATTTGCCATTTTGTTGCCCCATCACTGAGTTGGGTGAGGTCTTTGTGAAGCTCTTCACAGTCTGCTTTGGTCTTAACGATCTTGAGCAGTTTACTACCTTGCCCAGCTCCATTCTCACACAGGAAGAGCCAAGAGGGTAGCAGAGAGTGATTAGTGATTTGCTATTGCTGGGAGGTACCCTCAGCCACCCTCTCTCGCCTCTAGTGCAATGCGTGCACACGGCTGGGTGCCGACAATAGGAGATTAGCATTCTGCTTCTCATCAGACCGGGGTGGTACAAGCTCTGGGCCTTCCAAGAGTCACTGTGATGAGCCTAGGGTAGCACCTCGTCTGCTCCTTCCAATCGGCCGCACAGCCACGCTGCTCGAGGGGACTTGTTTCCCCCGCCCACGTTTGGTAAGGAAGTTGTGATTTTCCCAGGCCGGCGCAGAACCTCATCATGGCGATGTATGCCTGGATACGGCGCTGTTTGCTATAATTCCCCCTCAGGGCCTGCACCTGGAAACACCAGGCGGTACGACATGCAGCTACCTGCTTACTCAGCAGCACCATGTCTTGGTAATGGGCTACACGGGGATTCCAGAAGCCTTGCGGGATGCCAGTTTACTTGAGGCTGAGGTGCCCAGTCAGCTTTGATCTGCAACCTTCTTCAAGACTTTGGTTCTGCACATGTCAGGTTAGTTCCCCCTGCTCCATGTGCTACCCTGACACGGGCAGCTGGGCCCTCCCAATTCTGTATTAACAAGCTGGGGAGGGGTGCGCTCAACTCCTGAATTTGCTTCCCCCCCCCCCCCAAGCAACCCTGAAGAATGGAGCCTGGGCAGTTATGCTCAACAGATTTCCCAGAACACACCAGGAGAACGGACATCAAGTCATTGATGGGTTTCCTTGCATCACAGCACTGGTCCTGTCTTTGCAAGGAGCTAGGCGTGAAAACCCAAGCCCTGAGCTCCCCTCATACTGCTGGAATGCGCCTTGGCCAACCAGCCTACTTGTGCTAGATTTAAGAATGGAGCCTGGGCAGTTATGCTCAACAGATTTCCCAGAACACACCAGGAGAACGGACATCAAGTCATTGATGGGTTTCCTTGCATCACAGCACTGGTCCTGTCTTTGCAAGGAGCTAGGCGTGAAAACCCAAGCCCTGAGCTCCCCTCATACTGCTGGAATGCGCCTTGGCCAACCAGCCTACTTGTGCTAGATTTTGTCCGAAGCGGAGCACGGGGCCTGGTCCTAGAAGGGAATATCGCTGAGCCACTTGCTAACAGTTGGAAGGAGACCATCACGTCCTCTTGCTTCTAATGTGCTGTGTATTTTGTTATCTTGTAGACCCAGTGCCTCCACACACCTGCGGGGCTCTGGAAGGCCTTGCGCAGAATACGCAGGGGAAATCTGTGCATGCAACACAATGAGGGTGTGATGCAAAAGGCAACAACCCACCAGAGCAGCCATTTCTACACAGCCTCTCTGAAGGCGCATGCTGCAAACTGGAAAGCTGTGGGCAGTCATGAATACAGATATTAAACTGTAGTTAACTGACCAGTCGAGTAGTCGATGGAATTTAATGGATTACTCGACTAGTCGATGGGCACTTCCGCGTTCCTCCTCTGACATGTACAAGAGCCCCCATTGGGTAGGTCCCGCTGACTCCGGGCTGCATGCGGGTGCCAGCTGTACAAGAGTCCCCAGTGGGCATTTCAAAGCCATGGATCCTGGTGTCAACGGGGGACTCTCCAGCAGAACCCGGGTTCTGGGCAGCACTTCCCCAGAACCCAGGGCCAGTTGTGGAATCTCCAGCTGACCCCAGGCCTGCCACACAAGTGATCCGTGGCTCAGCTGCGCAGCGCTGCCGCTTTGCTGTACCCCTTCTTCCGCCTTTGCTGCCTCTATCTGATGGAGGCAGCAAGGGGAGGAATCAACTAGTCAACTAACTATCCAAGAGCATCTGCCCTTAACATCCTTAGTCATGAACACAGACTGCGTGTCAACAGGCGTGTCGCTGCCTCCGCCTCCCCAGTGAAATCCACTTTGGCCAGAGCCTGGCAGTGCCGTGGTCGGACATGGGCACCCGGCGGCAAAGGACCCAGCCCCAGTGAAACTGCTCAGAGAGAGGCAGACGCAAAAGCTCTGAATTCTTCCCCTGCTGACTGGAGCTGGGACTGGCCCACGCACCTGTTTGAGCGCCTTCTTGCTGTGCTTCTGGGAGGGTGAGATGGCTTTCCCCACCGGCAGGGAAGGAGACGGGCAGCCTGGCTGAGGGGAGCAGGCCTGTGACAGTCTAGATGGCACTAGGGAAACACAAAGAGAAAAGCACTGAAATAATTCCATCAGCCATGAGGACACGCCCCCGGGCATCGCTCTTTCCCATCGCCTGCCCCCCGGGCTGTGGTAGCTGCAATTCCGGGGACGCCCCTTTTCTTCTGGGGGATCGTTTTCAACGTGTTTTGCCAGGAAAGTGCAGGGCAGCAACTGTGAAGCTGGCAGCTGATCGTCATGGATGATGTCACTCCATCGTCCCCCCGGGCAGCCAAGGCACTAGGAGAGGGACCCGCGCAGCTTACCAAGTGGGCCACATTGGGACCACTGCCCCTTCCCCCAGACAATGGAGGTTGCGCTGCGGTTCCACACCAGCACTCACACCTCAGGGTTTGCCCTCGCACTACCTTCTACTCAGCCCTGCCCTCCAGCACGTCAACGGAGGGGTGGCTGGGAGCAGGAGCAAGCCCTTTGCAACGGACCTCTGCTGCCCATCTCCCTTTCAGTTCCTCCATTGCACGCTAACCCCACCGAACCTGGACTGGGCTGGGCTCCTCTCCTCTCCTCTCCCGCCTGCATCTGGCCCAGCTCAAACTCTGCAGGGTTAGCTCACCCATGGTGGAAAGGAACAGGGCGGGTACTGATGTCAGACTGGTCAAACTGGCACAGTGGCCCACAAATGACTTGGAACCACTGTCACGCTGCGTCCTACCACCACACATGCTCTTCACCGCCCTGGTGACCCAAGGGAGATTAGAGCAGGAAAAGAACGTGGTTCTACCCTCTCTGCCTAAGAAGCTAGACCAGGCATGTCCAAAGTCCGGCCCGCGGGCCAATTGCGGCCCGTGTTCCGGTTTAATACGGCCCCCAGGTAATTTGGCAATATCTATCTTTTATGGCCCCCAACGAATCCATTTGTATTGATATGAACACATTGTAAAATCTCAGTTAATGTCAGTTGGTCTAAATCAGTTATAAATATATTTGGACACAACATGTATACTTGGTGTTATGCTCCTGTTCATATTTTTTGAACTTAAAAGTTGACAGACAACCTTTATTACCAATAATATGTAATGTACTTTACAATGTTCCTGACATATATTTCAGCTTCCTGGATTTTTTTTTCATCTGGCCTTCAGATATGAAAGGCAGAGTGATTTAACACCTGTTTAGATTTGTCATCCATGTGACGAAATGAAAAGTATGCCGTTTGCAATAAACTTTGCATAAAATAGTTAATTTGCATTTAATTTTAATGGTTCAAAGAATGTCAGGCAAAATGGTCGGCCCTCGCGCATGTTCACTTCATCAAATCTGGCCCTCTTTGAAAAAAGTTTGGACACCCCTGAGCTAGACTGTCCTGGAGGGGAAAAGCCAGCCTCTGTTGTCGTCCTCTCCGGCTCCCCCCACACTACGGGCACTCCAGCAGCAACGCCACGGCAGAGCGGCAGTGGAGATGCTTCCTACAGAAATGGAAGGGCTTTTCCGTAACTGTGGGAACTCCACTTCTCCAAATCAAACAAGACCTCAATCTCCAGGCCATGTGGACTTTGCGAGAGGTCTCACTGCAGCAACCAACTAGGAATAGGGACAATTTCCAGAGACCCAAATCACTGCTGACCACATGATCCATCAAGCCACACAAAGCCATCTGCCGGAGAGCACCATGTCAGTCACGTGGCTGACAGCCCACCGCGCTCCTCCCTTCCCTCATTCCTGCCCAGAGGTGTGAATATTGGTGCCCATCACTGAAATTATGTGAGAAAGCCCCCAGGCATTAAGGTCACACAGACACATCTGTTCAGGATGTGGGTCATACAATGGTAAGTGAATCCAATAAAAGGTGGGGTGTAAAATGCAACAGGTTCAAACCAAGGACATGAAAAAACATAGAAAACCTCTGAAATCAGCAGTGTGTCAGATTAGTAAATTAAATAGAAACAGACAACTGGTCAAAAATACAAACGATACATGTCTGCATTAGGGATGTGAGCAACTAGTCGACTGTTCGATAAGCAGAAGCTTATCGGACAGTCAGTTAGTGAGGTGACTAGTCGCTTCCCCCCCTTGTTACCTCGATCAGAGGTGGCGTAAGATGAAGCCCATGCAGCACAGGCCGGGCCTGAGGCCTAGCAAACAACAGCCAAACATGGCTAACAAAGCAAAGCTAAGCTGTGAGCAAGAGGCAGGCCCCTGCTCACAGAACTTGGCAGAACAGAGCCGAGAGCGCAAAACACTAACTGGTGCTAGGTACGGATTGCAGAACAATAATTGGTACCGGGTGTAAGTGGAAAGCACATGGTACCACCAGCTCATTAAAGACCTTGGTACCCACACCCCACAGATACCGACCCAGGTCCAGGAAAGGGTCTAGAATGACAGCATGATGGATAGACATGATCTAATCAAACCACGAGGTAGAGGGTGATGGGTGGTATCTAAGTAGCATCAGAGGGTGGCAACCTGACACGTCAGCAGTGAGGTGTGACTTGTTGTACCTGTATATAAGGTGGTGTCTTGGGGGGGGGCAGTCTTTGGATGACCTAGGGGGCAGTGGAAATTTCCCACTGATTGAGTCATTCCAATGCTACAGGGTACACATGTGTCCTGGGTCAGTACAGTCCACTGACAACTCTGCATTTTGCTTTACAATAAACCTGGCTTGGCACCTTCGATCCTTATCCAGTTTGTGGTCTTTGGGGGCTCTCTTGGGGTCTGCTGTGGAGACTAAGTGCACAAGTTATCACGGCACATCACTGAGCACATATACAAGCAGCCTTCTGGTTCTCATCATCCATCACTGAGCACATACACAAGCAGCCTTCTGGTTCTCATCATCCACAGAGCCAGAGACCTGTGAGGACACCTCGGCAGTAAATCCTGACCCCTCCTGAATACCTACAAGAGGCAGCGGGGGAGAGGGGGGCAGAAAGAGAGCAGGAGCCAGTTTAAAAGCTGGTTCCTCCACTCTCGCCACTTCTGCTGCGAGTCTGCTTTTGAAACATACAAGAGTCCTGCTGGGGCTCCTGTACATTTCCACGGCTCAGGCACCACAGGGAGTGTGGGGCCAGTCCCCTGCTGGTCCTGAGCTCCCCATGGGGCTTCTGCTTTTGAGCTGTAGCAAGAGCCCTTATAGACTAACCGACTAGTCGATGGAAATCCCATCGACTATTCACTGGTTAATTCCTCTGCGTTTCACACCCCTAGTCTGCACACCAATACAAGACACTGAAAAGCACAAACACATGAGCTAGCATACCTTGCTGTGAACAAGGGTTTTGATAGAACAGGCATCGCCCCACTGACAGCCTGCATACCGAATGGGGTGGGATGGCATGCAGTTAATGGAAGCTGTATCTCCATCTCGACAGAAAGCCCTGGTCACACTGGACGAGGTGCCCTAAGCGCCCACAGGCCTCCCCTCGTTAACGAGGAGGGCAGCTGCAAACGGGGTGCATAAGCTATTGTATGAAGACAGATCACTCAAACAGGGTTGGCTGCTATTGGCTTTGAGACATTTGAACTGTAGGAACACAAACCACATCCTCTCTGAAACCAATCAAGTCAGAAGTTGCTCGTTTTGTGTGCAGCAGAACAGCTAAAACCACGAGAGCCAACTGCTTTGCCTCACTTGCATTTCTCAACGGCCCGTGGAACGTGTTCTAAGTCGCAAACTAAACTTGTTGCTCCTCTGAACTAGCACGAGCCAGACATGCTGAGAAGCGGATTCTCATCTCGGGATTGACTGGCGCTGGTTTCACACTGGCATTCTCTGGGCATGGCAGCTGCTGGCTCTGCCCTGACAGCTGTAACCACAAGGAATTCTGAAGAGGGAAGGAAGCGTTTGAAAAGTGAGCAAGGTCACAGTTTACTTTAGCTTCTGGCTCACCAAGTGATGGGTACCTAGTGGTGAGGATGTACGGCTCTCTGAACCCACAACACAGACAGGCCTGGGCATACTGAAAAGCATGCCTACATAAACTTGAACCGACAAATGCGTTTCTCGGGCATGCATCTGCTGTGGGAGTTCTCGTTCCTGTAAGTACAAGGTTTTAGAAGCTGAACTTGTTTCCTTTAGATTTCCGAAGCTCAGCTAAAACGCGAGTGTCTCTAAAGAGAATAAGCGCAGTGCGGTTTGTCTTCTCAAAAAGGCTCCACTTGCACTTTGTAACTTGCAAGGGCCACGTAACCGTAAGTGTGGCATTTTGTACACTTTTCACATGATCCTGCGTGGAAGAGGGAACTCATGCTTGCTGATGCCACTAGACTGCTGCAGCACTTGTTGCAAAAACAGTCTCAAGCTCTGGCGGGTATTCTGAAAGTGACGGATGCAGCTGGAAAGTCTGCAGGGGCCATCCAAATTTAGAACATTAATGACCTGGTTTGCTCTACAGTCGTGCCCCAGCTACCAGCACCAGAGCTAGGAACTGACCAGTCAAGCATCCCCCACACAACCAGGCAGCAGCGGCAGGGAGGGAGCACACAGATATGACACAATATTGGGTTTTTTTTAAAAATCAGTTGGGGGCTGCACACAAATACGAAGCAGAAATACCCCTCGTGACATGGCCCCCGAGTGAGAAGCAGAAAGGCCCTCCCCTCACACACCAGAGTCTAGTAGGTTCTGTGCCCATGGTGGGGCAGCAAGGGGGCCGGAGTGCCAGCATGGCCTCCCCCATGCTGAGGGGCCCTGAGCCTCAGGGGACCGGACCCAGACAAGCCGAGGGCCTGAGATTCCCCCACCCCTGCCTGAGGTCCCACGGTATCTCTCAACAGGTAACGGCTTTGCCTTGCCAGGTTACACAGGAGGGAAGACTGTGGAGTTGTACTTGCCCCAAGAGAACACAGGCAAGAGCTGCACACGCTGAGCTCCCCAGAACATCCCAATCTACATGGGGAGTGGCCAAGTGGCCAGTGACAGAAGCTGTGACCCTAGCATGGGCTAAGAACAGAAGCACGCCTAAGAACAGTCACGGGTGTGCCGTGAGAGGTGTTACCCTCTCCATTCCAAGCAAGGGGGAGTGCATGC